TTAATCCATTGTGTCAATAAACTAGTGAGAAAGATCATACAATCAATAGATCCTGAAAAAAGGCAATTCAAAATAAATGACAAGATATTCCTATTAATACTTCAAAGTAATAAAGCAGAAAAAAGCACTTAAGCATAAAAGATTCCTTAGCAAGTTTAGCTAAAATAACATTAGAATAAAATAAAAAATTAGTAACCTAGCTAGAAAATACATATGCATATACATACATGTATGCATACACAGAATCAAGTTTTTCTTTGACCTAGCATCAATATTATTTTAATAATGTTATTATTAAATTATTATTATCATCTCATTTACAATATCAAAAAAGTATAAAAATTGATTGAAATAAATTTAATTCAAAGACTAGATCTATTTTAACCTTAACTATAAGACATTTTTAAAAGACAGAAAACAAGACCTGAAAAAATAGACCATGTTCTTGAACAAACATCCCCAATATCAAAACTCAATTTTATCAATATTAATAAAACAAATGTTAATCATTTCCCATCAGAATATTAATTGGAATACTAATGAAGTTTCTTGTTGTTGTTTGGAGTTTTAAAAGTGGAATAAAAACTATTTAAGCTTAAGTGTGATATCCTGAAATAAGTAAGAAAAGCATGAAATGAGCCCTCAGGGGAACTTGTCCTAAAGAAATCAGAATTCCTATTCCTATATTACTCAGGATGGGCAATCAYCTGATGAGCAATGAATTCATCCCAAATCCTGCCTTCATATAGCAATATTTAGTTTATTTCTTGCTTATGCTACATGCCCATAATGCTTTGACAAGGGTCTATGTTACATAGTCACTTGGRAACTAGAGATGATAGAGACAGAGTCTTCAATTACAAGAAAGTCACCTTGTAACTGAAACATTTGGAACATGGCAATTGGCAGAGGGGATACAACACATGGAGAAGACTATGCCCCAAACTAGAAGTGACACAAATTGTTTTCATTCACAATCTATTGGCCTGAATAATCACTTGACTCTGCCTAGCTACAAATGGGGGAGGTGGCTAAGAAAAGTAGGGCATCCTATGAAACACACACACACACACATACACACACACATTGCCATTGGTTGGAATAGACAGATGGATCAGTAGACTCTGGAGAATAGAAATATTAAATCACAAATATTTAAAAATTTAATTTACAATGACATATAATAAATGGAACTGTCAAAACTAGCTGACTATATGAAAGAAAGAAAAAGTAAATGTATTTTATTTGTATTTAAAAACATAAAATAATAAACTGTAGCTGAATTAAAGGCCTTAAGGTAAAAAATAAAATTTAATAAAACTTSCAAAGTTATCTAGAAAGTTGGAAAAAAAACTAGGATTGTTTAAAATCAAGACAGGAAACCCACATGCTTTTAAAGTAAATATGACTGCATAAAATTGCTTCAATTTTTTTGGAATATATAAATTCAGGAGAGAAATAATAGTATTGGAAAAATATTTGAAATATTTTTGACAGGCAAAGTGTTTGTACCTATAATACCAAGAACATTTAGAAAAAAAACTAGAAAGCACTACAACATAAAAAGGACAAGACATGTGTCTAGAGAATTTATAGAAGGAAAAATTCAAACAGCCAAAAAGAAAATTTCTAAAAGAAATCAAATTCTCTAGTAATTGGGAAATTACTATAAAATTCTATAGTAACAATATTATAATACTTTAGAGCTACTAGACCAGTCTGAAAAAAAGATAAAAAGGCTTTTAACACTTATTCCTAGAGTATGTGTGGGGAAAGGAGTAATCTAATTGCTAGTGAAATATAACAGTATGTCATTCTCTTTGGAAGGCAATCTGGCAATATTAAAGTACAAATAGAAACAGCACATCTACATATCTGCACACGAATATAAATAATATAATAACATCAATTTATGGGTATTACAAATTACCCACCAACTCCACTTGGAATCTGTCCCATTAAAAGAAAACATCGGATGCTTCAGATGTAGCTCAGTGGCCCAGCACACACACACACACACACACAGAGAGAGAGAGAGAGAGAGAGAGCACAAGAAAGAATGAAAGCATTAAAAATATCAGGCTTTGGATACAGAGGTAAAGAATATTTATTGCTCATTGTTGCTAGTGGCAAAAACTGAAACAAAATAGAAATTTTAAGAATAAAAAATGAGTGTATGAATGATAGTGTATCATCTATACCATAATAATAATATTTAGCCATTATAAAGAATAAGTTCATCTATACTCGTTGACTCAGAGCATTTGTACAAAGTTTTGAGTGAGAAAAACAAAATGTAGACAACAATGAAAGTCCCTTATTTGATTTTCAGGTATGGGTATTATGTGTGTTTGCATTCCTGTCTAGATAAAGACAGCCTGGATTTAAAGTACTTTGTCAACAGGATTTCCTTCAAGATGGGTGACTCTGTTTTGTGTGTCAAGGAGGGAGGTCAGTAGAAAGGGAAGCTAAGAAACCCAAGGATAAGAAAAAAATATATCCAATCTTGGAGGAAAATAGAATGCATGGAATTTTACCTACATATTTGTGCAAATTTATTCCTAAATGGGAAAGAAAGTCATTACTTTCAAAAGGGGCAATGATAGAGAGTGTTCCTGCTCAGAGTGTGTTCACCTTCTGCTGCAGTATAACTATGGCATTTTGGGTTTCTATTAATTGTGAACCCCCTCCTGAGTATGCTTCGTTTTTTCTCTGGAAAGAAATTAACTTTAGCAAGCCATATACCCCCTGGTATATGACTACAAGCCATGAAGAACAGAAAGTAGGAAGGAGAGCAACCCAAGGCACTCGTCATAGGTGCATCAGGCTGGAGAATGCCCAGCTTTGGAGGCCCAGCCCAGGACTATAGGTGTTATGCTAAGTTAACTGGACAGTCTTCATGGAACTTCAAGCAGACTGACTTAACTTGACTTAAAAAAAATTAAAAAAAAAAAAAAAAAAAAAAACTCTGTCTGGGATATTCTCCTCCCTCTTATCTCAGCCTCTTCCCATCCTAACTCATCCTTCAGGGTTCTTGATGGGTAGGATTTTCTACACTCTACCCAGATTCCCTTGGTTGTCTAGGTGAGGTGGACTTCTTCTCTTTCACTCAGTGCTTAATACCTTTCTAGTATAGCTAGTTGCCTCTTTTTCCTTCTCTAGACTTAAGTCTCCTGCACCCCCAGCTCCTCAGGGCCCCTCATCCTCTCTTCAGAGCTCCTCCAGGTGGTGAAAGCAGGAATGAAAGATCCAAAATGAAGTGAGGAAGCCGTGCAAAAGAGGAAATTTATATTGTACCGCTAGTCTCCATCGGGGTTGGGTGGGGGGCACTATCTAAGGCATCCCTTGAGTTTTCTCTGCAGGGCTTAGAAACTTTAAGGATGCCTGAAAGAACGGAGCAGAGAGAAAGGAGGTTCCTATATATGTGCAGAAAGCAAAACCAGAATGTGTCACTTCTAGTTTGGGGCATAGTCTTCTCCATGTGTTGTATCCCCTCTGCCAATTGCCACAGGGGAGGGATCCGATTTTATCCTGACACAAATCAGTACAATAAAATTTCCAGCCTTAAAGTATTTGGCGTTAGCAGAAGCTTGCCAAACTAGTGCGCGCACACCGCTGTCTCTCGGGAGGGTGAGCCTGTGCGCCAGCCCAGCCTACGCATGCTGATGCTACCCCGCCTGCGTCTACCAGTTCCAAGTCCCCCGCAGTGAAAAAGGATGGCAGAGGGGTAGATGGCGCCCCAGGAAAGACTCCAAGGGTCCCTTGCGCACCGCAGTTCACTCACAACACACTCCTGAGCTCATCTCAGGAAGCATCTCAGCTTCTCCAAAATGATTCTCTCTGGCCTGCCTTTCCCCTACCTTCTCCCAGTGCCCAATCCCCAGCTGTACCTTTTGAAATTGCCTCTAACTGGGAGACTGGGGGCCTCAAAGTCCACCAGGGGCGGGGCGGGAATAGGAAGAGAAGGCAGGACAGACGTAGCCTACAGTTCCTACATAAACCTGGAAGAGGGGCAAGGGTAAGGAGCCCCCAAGTCATTCTGGTCCCAGCTGGTCCGCGGGCCAGGGAGGTGCGGAGAAGGTGCCAGTTCCCCGGAAGCGAATGAGAGTCCGCAGCAAGTGTTGGCAGAAAGCCCAGAACCGCGTTTGGGCAACACGCTCGCAGGCTTAAGGGTGGCTTCTGCACTCACCAAGCTTCACAAGGAGCCCAGTCTAGTCCCCAGTGCTTGCGGGGAGGCTCGTCCTGAGAGCTCAGATGGAAGGCTTAGCAGAAGCTTCTCCTAGAGTGAGGAGCCAAGTCATCAGGGCGGCTGGAGAAGGTGCACGAAGGCTTAGAACCTTTCCAGGTGCTTTCCAGGCGAATCAGCTTGCCAGGGACAGGAGCTAATTTTGTTTTGTTTTGTTTTGTTTTGTTTTGTTTGGGGTGGGGGAGTGGATGGGGTGGCTACGAAAGTTTTCCAGACTCCTGAAACCGGTTGTTTTCAAGCAGTTCAAGCCTATGGTGCCCTTAGGCTGGAGCGCTGGCACCTTGCCCTCCCACTTGCCCAACTACCACAGCCTTAATAAGCAGGCGCCTCTGCAGAGTTGCAGCAGGGCTCTACGCTGCCTCCCTGAACGTTGACTGTCCTTCACTTCAACTGTTTCCCAAATCTTTCCTTTCCCCCCAGCCTCCCTGGTGCAACTGTGGTTCCAGCTGTGGACCCATCTGGCTCAGTTACTCCCAGGCCACCTACCGCCCTCTGGTGGATTGCTGCGGCGACCGGCTCACAGACGCCCACAGCAGGTAGCAAGCAGCAAAAGGCAGGGTTGCCGCGGCGGTGGAGTGAGACAGTTGCCAACAGCTGGCGCAGCGCTGCGCACAGGGACTGGCGAGTAAGCAGCCCAGGTACTGCCCCCTTCCCAGTGACGTGTCTGCAGCGTGTTATAAAAGCCTCGTGCGCAGCCTGCCGAGGTTCTGTTAACTCCCGAGCTGAGCAGAACCCAAGCCAAGAGACGCCTGCAAAGCTGCAGGCAGCGGCAGCGGCGGCTTCAGCTAAAGCGCAGAAGAAAAAAAAAAATCTTCAGCTGGACACGAGGACCCAGAATTCTGGCCATAGAATCAGAACTTTTATAGACAGCGCTGTGACAGGCCCTCTTTCCCTCCTCCCAAGTCCTCAAGCAACACAGGGCTTTGCCTTTCCCGCCGCAGAAAAGGGAGATAGGAGTTGCAAATAGCAGCAGGTGCAAAAAAGGCGGGGTTCTCTTCTTTCCTAGAACGGTAACCGGTGGAATTGCTTTTCCCCTTTCAGTTTGACGCAGAAGAGACGCTGACTTCAGATTCGGAACTCAAATGCTTCCTGAAGCTTGAAAGTGGAGGAATTCAGAGCCACAAGGGGCAGGCAGAAGGTAAAGCTAGCATTTATTCTCTGAGCGCCAAGTCTCCTGCTTATAAGGAGAGTTCTGCCCAGAAAGAGACTTCCTCCCTCCTGCCTGACTTAAGCAGGGCCCTGAGCCTCAGGAGCCTGCCACAGGACCCCCCGCTGCAAAGGGAGCCACAGTGTACAGAAGGGAGGTCTTTGCTGCCTAGCTGCACAATGGATAATGTCCTCCCTGTGGACTCAGACCTCTTCCCAAACATCTCCACCAACACCTCGGAACCCAACCAGTTTGTGCAGCCGGCTTGGCAGATTGTCCTTTGGGCAGCTGCCTACACGGTCATCGTGGTGACCTCCGTGGTGGGCAATGTGGTAGTGATGTGGATCATCTTGGCCCACAAGAGAATGAGGACAGTTACTAACTATTTCTTGGTGAACCTGGCCTTCGCGGAGGCCTCCATGGCTGCGTTCAATACAGTGGTGAATTTCACCTACGCTGTCCACAACGAGTGGTACTACGGCTTGTTTTACTGCAAGTTCCACAACTTCTTCCCCATCGCTGCTGTCTTCGCCAGTATCTATTCCATGACGGCTGTGGCTTTTGATAGGTGAGCTTGCCCTTTGCGGAAGTGAGAAAGTGTCCAGAGTGGACCACTGCATTGCTCTGGAGTTTGGGGGCTGGGTCATATATGGTCCAAGGGGAAGATGAGCCACCCATGCCCTGGGGCTTTTACTGGCTGTCAGTTGAGTCAATGATGGATGGAGAGCTTTATCTTATTTTTCTATTTCATCTTTCTCCCCCTACCTACCTTTTTTTTTTTTATCACCCATTACCAGTCTCCCTTGCTTTCAACACACACTCCCATTTTCTTAATATAACTTTCCTTACTTCATTCATTCATCTCCCTGACATTTTCATTTCCACTCCTGTTTTGGTTTTTGTTTTTCCCATGTATTCCTTCTCTCCTTAAAGCCTGAGGGGCATTCCCAGGGCTTGGCCAAGGAGCTAGCCCCTGAAGGGAGCTTTGTAGATTCTCCAGGCCTGCTCTTCTGTTAAGCAGTTTCATGTTGTGTTGTGTTTTAAGCACACCTCAGCAAATTTTCTCATTTTTCACTTTTTCCTGACGATTCAGGGACTTTCAGTTCCCATCTCAACTCTCCAGTTATTATTTGAATGTGAAGAGCATTTCATCCAAATCATAAAACACTCCAGATTCTAATTCAGCTTCCTCTGTGCTGCGAGGAGTTCTCATTCAAGAATGAGAGCAGTACAGTTCCTAAGGATCAGGAAGCTTACCCAGACAATTCCTAAATTCCTCTTGCTATGGAAAGTCAATGTTTTTAGCCTGTCTGCATCCACAGAAAAGTATGCTTGGCCAAACAAGTGAGAGCCCTTCATTCCCTATAATTAACAAATTAGGGTTTCGGAAGCTGATGGAAAGTGAAAACATTGGCATTTTCAAAGACAGGCTGGTGTTCTAGAATGAATGGCCCTTGAGGGGCCATGATGGATAAGTAACTGTTAGGGCACAGCTTTATTGGTATTGACTTTTTTGTAGGTGTCCCAGGTCTCTAATGTGTGTGTGTGTGTGCATGGACACAGGTGTCAAATGCTCCTCTGGATGTGGAAGCATGTTTAAAACACCTGCACTGTGATTTTAAAATGGATTCTTTTGGTGTACCTGCTGAGATAAATGAATGTAAAAAATCCAGAGAAAGAGCTACAAGAAAACTTTTTAAAAACTCAAACTATTAACCCCTTTTACATAAAGATTGCTTATGATTTGCAGTTGATTTAAAGTCTCTTTCATTTTTAATGAGAAAAATCTGTATTTTTATCCTTTAAGGTGGTATCCAAATGTTAACTTGTGAATTCCATATACACTTCCCTTTGTGCAACTCTTATTGTGCTTTATATGTTGTGCATGCATTAAGCAAGTTGTAGTGAATCCATTTATATTTTAAAGGTAGAAGGTAAATCAGTTCTTTTTAAAGTGGTAGTGGTACTCTTTTATGCTATTCTGGTTTTCATAGATTCAGTTTGCTGGAAGTGAGATACACCTGTAAGTCCTTCTGTATTGACTAGCTCCTTTACAGTAGCTTTTATAAACTTTAAAAAAAATTCAGTGCATGATACAGAACCATTTATCAGTGCAATGAAACATGATGTCATTTTGCCTTACATACACTTTCTTGATTCCTAAATTAGAAGGTAAGGTAGTGTTTTGTTTGTTGTTGTTGTTTCTGTGCTAGGGCCTTGCCTAAGCCCTGCAGACCTGTCAGTCAATGTGAGCTGGGGCATTCCGCAGCTGATGGAGCACAGCAGACAGCTCTCTCCCTTTGGCTAACACAGGAACATACTTCACAGCCCTACTCTTTCCTCTGGGATTTAGAAGATTAGGGGTAGAAATGAGGACCAGGACCCTCACAGTGAATTGGACAAGGAGACATATTTTCACTATTGTTTTTCTCTAGGTAAACCATGGCAGGACCTTGACCCTCTATGACACCTGCTCTGTGTGATCAAAGGGTCTCAGGTGCCAGAGTTATGAGAAATGACAGCAACAAGAAACGTCCTGTGTTTCTAATGTGCAGCCATGACTCAGGGTTAGAGTTCAAATTAGAGTTAGGTTTGGGGGTTCAGCTCTCTGTCTTCATGTACCTCAAGTGCTCCTTCTAGTTTTCCTTGCTCAGCTTCATGAGCACACAGTGAATTCATCCCCTGAGGCCCCCTGGTAAATGTGTCTCTTGCATGCATGGGCATCCATTCTCCCCCGGAAAAAGTTGTAGAATTGGAAAGGGGCCTTAAGCTCTCTATGAATTCTCTCTCCTTTTTCCAACATGGAAATGCAGACTTGCAAGAAATGTTAAATTACCTTTTTGTGTGTTCTTTGAATTTTCAGTGGACAACCTTGGAATCAAATCTTTAAAAATAACAGCATGTTTTTTCTGATGGTGAAATGAAACCTTTTTTATTGCAAAACACTCAGGAATTATGGAGAGCATAGACACAGAAATTCAAATCAGCCATTACCACACCATCCAAAAATAACACMTGTTAACATTTGATTTTTCTCTTTTATAAATATTACACTACATAATTGAGRTCAGAGTCTATATAATTTTGTAGCTCACGTTTTCCCATAGATATTGGTGGAAAACATTGGTAACTTTGCCCATGTTATTACAATATTTAAAACATAATAATAACAACTTAGTATTGCTTCATTATATGAATGAACTATTATTGATTTTGCCATTCCCCTACTGTATTTAGGTGATTTCTAATTTTTTTCTATTATGACTAATGCTGTAATGGATACATCTATATGAAAATTTTGCTGTGCTTTTTTATCCCAGTAATGGGGATTGAAACCAGGAGTGTTCTACCACTAAGCTAAATCCCCAGTTCTTTCTAGTTTATATTTTGAGACAGGGTTTCTCTAAACCTGGTCATAAACTTGTGATCCTTCTGTATCACCCTCCTGATTGATTTGCTGTCTTGACAATTTCCTTAGGATAGAGTCCCAGAAGTGGAATTACTGGATCAAATGAAATATTTTTTTTACAAAAAAGAAAACTACTCCTCCTATTTTTACAGGACTATAAACTCTGGGCAGAGCAAAGAAAACATCTGTTCTGTCTTGTACATTTGAATCTCTTTGGCACAAAGCAGAATGTTTGACACCTAACAGTCACCTGAATGTTTATTGAATATATTAATGAATGAATAAATTACACATTTCTAGAACATTTGGGAAACAAGTTATATTGTAACCAAAATATAGAAATCACTTTAAAATCCCACTGGTGATAGTTAACCAGTTAAAATTCTGGATTACTGGCTTATAATTACTTTTTATCTGTGTTGTTTCTGGCATTGACAGTCATTCATATTTTTAAGAGTAAATTTTAGATCATAATGAAAACAATTTCAATAGCTGATGAGGGGGCTTTTTATGGCCAGGGGGCTTTTGTGGTTGTTATTGTTTTTCCTTGATATTAAAGCATAGGAGTTTTCCACGTCATAAAAAATGTTTTTAAAATGGGATATTTAATGGATGCATTATATTACATGACTAAAATCATTTATTTAACTATCCCTGTAGATTTTTTTTACTTTTTCATTATTACAAGTAACTGAAATGAATATCCTGAACATAAGCCTTTGAGAGAGTCTCTGTTTCTTTCCTTGGAATAAACTCCTTAAAGTAGAATTGTTCAGAACAACTGTCCTATCAGAATTTGCCGTGTTTCCTTCTAGAACCCAGATGTGACAAAATTCAGTTGCAGATTGCAGTACTAACTTAAATGTTCCTTGAAGTCTTTTCTGAATGGGACAGAGACTGGGGGAAGGATAAGGGGCGATCTGGTTAAGAAGGTATACTTATTTTTTGAAGTCATTGATTACCTAGAATAAAATAAGTCTTTCAGAGATAAATGTAGCTGAATAAGTTAAACTCTAGCAAACACCAGGAAGTTTTTCCTGTGAAATGTTGCAATTCCTCACAYTTAGAATTTGAAAATTCTTTTCTACTATGAAAACTAAAAGGTATGTATGGTGCTTTATGAAATTGGAAGATGGGGGATATTGAGAGATCATGCCCCCATTATACAGGGGCTGGTGACGATGTCCTGTTCTATAGGAAGAGCAGACTCTGAGGAGGGACCAGGAGAACCTATTCCTAAGCCCTGTAGGAGCAGATGAAAAGGCAACAGACCGGGAACCTAACTAGGAATACACATGCAGTAACAGGGGACCCCAAACAGCAGTGGCCTAGTGTCACAGCTCCTATTCCATGTCAGGGGCAGGTATGATCTCAGAGAGATGAAGCACCACAGTTGTTCACTACTCAAACTGGTTCTAGATAGGTTGTATTTGAGTGAAAGGAAAAATCCCAATGGGAATGGTCTCTGGATAACATAAGATATGATCAGGACCAGAAGTATAGTTACCCAGGTAGGGATGACTATTGAAAATAAAAGAGCTAATGAGCTCTCTGAAAGAGTAAAAGAGGAACCTAGCACACGCGCGCGTGCGCACACACACACACACACACACACACACACACAACAGAAACTCTGCCCACTGATCTCTGGTGTCCATCTTACGCCCATCTTCCCTGGTCTCTGCTAGACCTGCAGTCTGTCCTCAAATCTTACCTTAATGGTTGGATGTGGAAGTCACTGTCTATCTAAGGGAAGGCAGTCCTTCAGGCCTTCCCACTTCTCCCAGAAGCAGGACTTAGATTCCAGGATCCTTTGCAATCATTTAAATGGACCTGGAAACCCAGGGTCAAGAATCTCTGGGATGCTGAGAATAGCCATTAATTAGAAGCTCAACAATCACAACTGGTCCTATTTTTTCAAATCAGGAACTGCAAATATTATTGTTGATGTGAATCAAACTTGAGTCTGTTACATCTCCAGTGGATATTTAGGCTTCCAGACCTCTCCTTGAGACGCTCAGTGCTCTATTGCAGCTGCCTCTCCACACTTGTGCATCCTCTCCTGACTCACGAGAGTCTCCACTGTCCTGAACAATCAATACTGTTTTGTTGTGTTTGGGGTTTTTTTTCTGTTTTTTTCTTCTTCTTGTTGCTGGTAT